AAATATCTTAATTTGTGTTCCGAAGATGAACGGAGGTCTTACAGGTTTGGAACGAGGGTGAGTAATTAATGACAGAATTTTCAGAGGTTTTCCTGCATGGACCATCAAATCAACAGAAAACTTTTTTTTATTTTTTTATTATCATTCCACGCTATTATAACCCAGTAAACACCTCCCTCAATCAATTAACTTCCCATGAAAAAGAAAACACTATCTTAAAATTCTAACAAACAGAGCACTTTACAAGGAAAGAAAAGAAAGGAACATTATATGACTGACAGACTGCAACGGTTTGAGTTAAAAATCTCCGTTTGTGTTCTACTGAAGAAACAAAGTCACCTGCATCTCGGATGCCCTGGGGGTAAGCAGATAAACATCACATTTTCATTTTTGGGTGAACTATCCCTTTAAGTGTTTAGAAAGTTAATCAAATGTTTTCCAGTTTAATGCAGGCAAACACTTCTTTCAGCCATGTATCAAAAGAAGGGGGTGAAACATGTTTCCACTTCAACAGTATGAGATGTCTTGCTAGTAAAGTAGTAAAGGCTAAAGCCTTTTGGACTGTTACTGAAAGGTTATCATCAACTACCATCCCAAAAATGGCCAAAAGTGGATTTGTATCAAGATCTATGGCAAAGGCATCTTTCAAAGTTTTAAACATCTTAGTGCAATAATCAAGTAGTTTAGGGCATTCCCAAAACATATGAATGAGATCGGCTGGCGACTGCTTGCACCTGTAACATGCATCTCTGACAGAGGGGTATATTTTAGCAAGAACATAAGATTTAAAGCAAGAGTCCACCCAGAAAAGAAAACAACATCCACATCCAGTCCAGCTGCAAAAGTTAAATATTTCAAAAGATCTGAAGCTCAAATTGGAAAAAACAAAAAACATGATTCTGTGTACACAAACGGCTCTGAGCTCTTGCTCTCGGTCTCTGCTCGCTCAAATGTTCCTGGCAAGAGGAACATTTCTGGCCCTTCATGCTCCGCTGAGGCTGATCTGACCACACAAACGGCTCTAAAGGGACCAAAAGAGCTGCTAAACGAACGCCAGAGATCCTGCTAATCAACTCAAACCGGCACGAACGAGAAAACAGAGGTCAGTGCATGAGAGATTAATATTCCAATCTCAATCAGGTCTAATATTGTAAAGAAGAAGGGTTTCTGTGAAGGTCCATACATTGTACATTTTTATAAAATTTTAGTAGTTTTAATACATTCTATAGAAAAACAAAATGAACAAGTTGAGTTTGTTTCTTCATCAGGTTTGTAGAAATGTAGCACTGCATCAGTGTCTCAGCAATGGATGCTCTGCAGTGAATGGGTGCCGTCAGAATGAGAGTCCAAACAGCTGATAAAAACATCACAATAATCCACAAGTAATCCACAGCACTCCAGTCCATCAGTTAACATCTGGAGAAGACAAAAGCTGAAACTAATCCAGCATTAAGACGTTTCTAACTAAAATACGAGTTCATAATCCATAATAACTCTTCCTCCAGTGAAAAAGTGCATCTGCTGTTGTCTCTCACATCAAAATCCAGCCACATATGTGTTTAGAGCTGTTTAAACACTGCTTGATCTGTGCAGATTTCTCTCCTGATTCACACCAGAACACTTTTTCACTGGAGGAAGAGTTATCCAGTTAACAGGAACGTTTTGAGAACGTTCTGGCAATGTTCTCTCAACGTTATAAACAAACATTCTTCCAGTAACATTAACAGAATGAAAGTGATCTGGTTTATAATAATGTTCTCAAAATGTTATTCATACATCATTCGTGGAACTTTGTTTCAGTTGAACGCTCATCTAAC